AGAGAATGTCATCCTAAATTTCAGAGATCTGAAGGTAAGAACACAATCAAAATCAGAATCAATAGTTTTACGTTGTGATATTTATGCCGAGTAAATGATTTTAATGTTTATATTCCGAGTACAGATTGATGAAGGAAAGAAGAAATGCATGTCTTGGAGTGACTTAAGGGAAAGGTAACAGCTGGAATATATATTTCATCCCGTTCCAGGAGTGATTAATTCTTCATTTTCAAATTATAAAGAAAAGCGAAATGAATATTATACTTAAATGAGTGTTTTTCTAGGTTAATTATTAGCCGTCAATCATTCCTCACTCGATTTTGACGAGACTTTGAAACTTTCCCTGCGTTCTAAATAGGGCCTTTCAAGGTTAATCTGTTTGTTCTTTAAATGAAAGCATTGATTTGTTGAATGTTACTTTTTTTGGACGAGGTTTTGTTGTTGCTGTTTTTTTCTTCTGTGTTCATAGCTATATCTATATATCCATTGCTTACAGACTCCTTCTATTTATTTTAATTATATGTTCATTGATTTGTTTCTTTGTCTTATTGTGGTTGTTGTTTCTTTGTCTTATTGTGGTTGTTGTTTCTTTGTTTGTAGGGTGTACTTTTTTAAGAGTCTATTTAAGAATTGTGTCAAGCCTGATTATCAATATTATCAGTATACCATTTTCCTCAGTTTGCAAGTGCTGACAGTGATCACGCAAAGTCAAATCCATGAGTGACAGGGAGAAGATGTCGACAAACGCCAATTTCGAAAGTACTCAACGATGTTTAGAGGTTATGACCTCGGTGAAAGTCAGACAGAAGTTAAACCTATCGGTGCCCTGATGAGTTTTCGTTGTAATTTCCATTTTTCTTTTGATCATTATTATTAGTAGTATTTATTATTTAAACAATTTTCAGGTAAGGCGGATTTTCAGAGACAGGATGCCACGTGGTTACTTCGAAAAGCAACTCAGAAGAAACAGTTTGCAGCTGCAATCATTTGACTCATTTTGCTGTCTTACTTGACTACAATGGTAGCCCAGGGGTAATGAATTGATTTTCGCCTTACCTTTAGCACTGGTATAAAACTTTATTGGTTTAAGTAACATGTTTGCTGTCTCTTAATCTCTCTTCACAGCTCACAGAGGAAGACGAAACTATTCTGGAAATTATCACCTATGTGGGATTGAGCCCCTCCATCTTCGCGATTCTTTTGACAATTATTCTATATTCCTACCTCACGTTAGTACTGTAGCCATACGCTCAAAGAACTAGGTCTTTGCATGACCCTAAAGGCTTTAGGGCTTTCAACAGACGAGTTCTTAAAAAA